CCCCCCAAACCCCCCCGTCCCCCCGACCATCTCGGCGAGGCCCCCCCGCACCCCCCCCTTGCGGATTCGGGGGGAGCGCGGCCCCCCCAGCCCCCCCCAGAGCGTGGGGGCCAGCAGGAAATAGTACAGGTCTGGGGGGACAGGGGTCAGGGACCCCAAAAACAGACCAAATCACCGCAAAATCACCCCGAAAAAATCCCCCAAAACAGACCAAAAACATCCCAAAAACACCCTGAAAAAATCCCCAAAAACACCCCAAAAATACCCCGAAAACACCCTGAAAAAACCCCCAAACCAGCCCAAAATCAGGCTCGTGGCAGAGCGTGGGGGCCAGCAGGAAATAGTACAGGTCTGGGGGGACAGGGGTCAGGGACCCCAAAAACAGCCCAAAATCACCGCAAAATCACCCCAAAAACACCCCGAAAACACCCTGAAAAAATCCCCAAAAACACCCCGAAAACACCCTGAAAAAATCCCCAAAAACACCCCGAAAACACCCTGAAAAAATCCCCAAAAACACCCCGAAAATACCCTGAAAATACCCTGAAAAAATCCCCAAAAACAGACCAAAAATACCCTGAAAAAACCCCAAAAAACACCCCAAAAACAGCCCAAAATCAGGCTCGTAGCAGAGCGTGGGGGCCAGCAGGAAATAGTACAGGTCTGGGGAGACAGGGGTCAGGGACCCCAAAAACACCCCAAAAACAGCCCCAAATCACCCCAAAAACAGCAGGAGAACACCCCAAAATACCCTGAAAAAATCCCCAAAACCACCCCCAAAACAGCCCAAAATCACCCCAAAAATACCCTAAAAACACCCCAAAAATACCCTGAAAAAAACCCCAAAAACACCCTGAAAACACCCTGAAAAAAAACCCCAAAACTCCCCAAAAACACCCAGAAAACACCCTGAAAAAAAAACAAAAATACACCAAAAACACCCTGAAAAAAACCCCAAAAATACACCAAAAACACCCTGAGAACACCTGGGGAACACCCTGAAAAAAACACCGAAAACAGCCCAAAACCACCCCAAAAACAACCCCAAAATCAACCCCAAAGCCACCCCCAAAAAACCCAAAAACACCCAAAAAAAGCCCCAAAACATCCCAAAAACCCCAAAAAACCCTAAAACCCTCTAAAAAAACCCAAAAACACCCCAAAAAAACCCCCAAACACCCCAAAGAAACCCCAAAACAACCAAAAACACCCCAAAAAACTCCCAAAACCCCCTAAAAACCCCCAAAAACATCCCAAAATCACCCCAAAAACATCCCCAAAATCACCCCCAAAAAACCCAAAAACCCAAAACCACCCAAAAACACCCTAAAAAACATCCCCAAAACCACCCAAAAACATCCCAAAAACACCCCAAAAACCCCCAAAACACCAAAAAAACCCCAAAAAACTCCCAAAACCCCCTAAAAACCCCCCAAAACCCCCAAAAACACCCCAAAAACATCCCAAAATCACCCCCAAAAAACCCAAAAACCCAAAAACACCCCAAAAAACATCCCCAAAATC